AAGATGGAGGGCATCGAGAATACAGAGTTCTTGCAGGTCATCTTCTCTTGCAGGCACAACTCTGTCATACCATTCCTCCTATTCAGTTCTCAATGTCGGCCAGCAACGGTGAGATCGGGTCATTCTCCAATTGTCCCAGTCGAGCCACCCTTCGTAGAAAAGAAAATGGTCCTCCAGACGAGGGTATAAAGCTGGAAGTTGAGCAGGAGCTTCTCGAAAGATTGGACCTAAGACATATTCTTGTTTGTTGCTGTGGCAAGGAACAAAGAGGTGCTCGTCTATGGCACATGACCCATCAACTGTTAACTTGGCAATCTCTTCATCAATACATCTTTTCAAAGCCATGGTTGGGCTTATACAATCACCAGCAAGCATTTTCAGAGAAGAAGAATCCATTGGTAGCAAGCAGCAAGGAAGAGAGGGTTAACAGAGGGGAAGGGTTTGTGTTTTGAGCGAGCGAGTGATTTCAGAGCATGAAATAAAAGGGCTTTAAAAGCCTTTGTGTCTGGAAGATATATCGCGTAATTCGTTAAGTACTAAAAATACAAATACGAAGAGTTTCATTCAATATTGATACTTTTGGAGGGAAAAACACATCCCAGATGTTGATGCCAGCTTCGAAGTGAAATGTTTGGCTTCGAAACCAGATTTTGGCGCCAAAAGTCAAATAACAACGGCTTTGAAACTGAGAAGCCAACTTCGAAGCACATTCCATACCTAATGATGTAAGAATACTCAAGTATTTGTTTACTTCAAAGGGATTAAAAACCTGTTTAGGTTTCTTAATGAGAGTAATGTCCTTCGAAGCTAAACTTGAGATCCCTTGAGGATGAGAATTGGCGTTCGAAACATCAAAACCAGTAGTTGGTTTATATATATACAAAAAAATTGTCTTTTTGAACTAAAACAGTGCAGCTCTCAAAAGGAGTTTCCATATTTTTGAAAGTATGAACTGTTGTTCAAGGCAAAATGATCAATTTAAAACTAATTGATCATACTAATCATGACCATATGTTGGTTATGATTAAAACAAGCTTTAAGGGGTAAGACTGTTGAATTCGAAGCACTGATTTTAAATAAAATCAGCAAAAACTATCAACTGTATTCCATAAATTGGAAAAGTTCATGTTGGTATTTTAGTGTTTCATTTAAACCAATTGAGTCCAGATTCGAAGGATAAGATTGTTCAGTTCGAAGCCCGAAATTTGCTTTTAAAGACAAACGGAGACAAGATCAAACAAACAGAGGGAAAAGTCTTAGTTGTATTAAAGCAAAAGCAATTACATCGAATGGCCCTCTTTGGGTACAAATTCAAGTTCATAAAAATAAGGAATAGAATAAATAACAAGATTATGAAATTTGGTCCAACTATGATCAATGAATTTCTGTTCTTTCTTTAATCTGTCTTCTATTTCTTCTAGGATTGGCTGCTGAAGTTGATGTGCTCTCACTTCATAGAAGAGCTCTTCAGCCTTTATTTCGAACGTTGTTTTTCTCAATTCTTGTTCCAACTCGTCCATATCCAAGTCATCCCAGTACACAAAATCTTTATTCTTGAAGTTATCAAATTCTTCAATGAGGTTCTCTGCTTCGTACTGGGCATGAACTCGAAGGGATGAGAGTTGGTCCAAACATTGAGTGGTGGCCACAGAAGTTCGATGCTAGTGAAGAAGCAATGGGAGTTGGTCCAAAAACATGTAAGCTCTGCTTGGGCGAGGGGGTTGAGGACGTGACCCCGAGTCAGAATGTCACAACCCTATCAAAGATTCTTGAGAGGGATGTCGTCCTCAAGAACATTGAAAGACAAGTGAGAGAAGGCTGCATGCAGAAGTTGGGCTTGCTTCCGCTCAGCTAGAGCAGGGGAGGGTGGAGGCTTATAAGGAGGAAAGGCCTTATCCACAGAAAGGGCAAGCCTCAGTCTCTCTGTCCAACAAGGATTTGGCAGAAGAGGAGGTATGAAAGCTTCCATTTTGGGAGAAGGAGAAAGGGCAGAAGGAACAAGGGCATTAATATAATCGAGCCAGTCAGAAGAGCAAAACTTCGCCTTCTGGGCTAAGAACGAGGGGCTGTACCCTTGTGCCTCTTTTGGGCGTCGGGTAGCGTGCACTATCTTTGTAGACATGGAGGATGTGTACCATACTACAAGCAGATTGTCCTCTAAACTGCGTCGCCGGTCGATGGGCACGTAAGGATAGACCACCGAACTTCGAGCATAGCAAGGAAACTCTAAAGGGTCAGTGAACTCGACAAAGTGATGGTTAATTTGCTCCCTTAAATCACAAGCCTCATGTTCCGACCAGCTTGCCCAGTCAGAAGCCCCAGAGGAAGAAGAAGCCACAGCCTTATCCCATGCAAAGAGTTGTGAAGAAGAACTTCCCATGTCCATATTTGCAACTTTCAATCAAAGGATTGAGGGCAGTTTGTTCGTAGTCCAAGGGTGAATCAGAAGAAGAACTTCTCATGTCTAGATTTGTAACTTTCTGAATCAAAGGATTAAAGGCAATGTGTTCGTAGTACAAGGGTGGATAATTTGCAAAGGCTTCCATGACTTAAATATAGAAAGGTGGGTAATTAATGCATGGAGGTTCTTTCGAGGAGGAACAGCATCATCAGATGACTCTTCGTGCGCTCGATCAATAGAAGAGAAATTTGATTTAGCCATAAAACGTATCAGTCTATTCGAATACTAAGGTGGGGGTATTCAAAAGATTGGAAGAGAATTTAATGCAAATAATGACGGTTGCATTTCTGGAAGAATGCAAAGCCCATGCACGTTCTAAGACGTGGATAAAAGATCTTAATCCACTAATATCACCAAGTATTGGATATATTAGTGGGGGGTAATGTTGGCTACATATTTTGTATAAGCCAATTACAATTTGACGCGTGCCAGAATAAGGGTAATACAGGAAGACTATTCAAGTCTTCGATCATGATCGTACACGTGGCGGTTGGTATTGGTTATTACAAGATCTGAGTAGCATTGGATCAGCAAAGAGATGCAAAGTGATGTGGCTTCAACGGCTACTCACATTCAAATTCAAAATTAAGAGGGAAGCCTAACTACAATTGATGGCATAGTGGAGCTAATTATAAGGCAATATGATCAACGATCATAGAGGAGCAGTTCGACGATTGGAAATACAGTTCGATGGTCATCATTGAGAAGTGTAAATAGCAGAGAAGGCCTCAGAAAAAAGCCCCAGACTCAGATACAAAAAATCAGTCTTATTCTACTTTATTTCCTTTCTAGTTTTACATTTCATGTTCTTTACATTTCTGCACTTTAAAATTCCTGCACTGCACTGCACTTCATTCATAGGATAGTTTCAAATAGATTGTTGCTGTAAACCTCTACGAGGCTGTGTTTGGATCATTGTAAGTTTTTTCATTTTAATGAAATGCTTCAATTGTTCTTCATTTAATTATTATTTTGCTTAATTCTCTTAATCAAGTCACCAGTAAAAGTTCTTTTCATTGAGGCTGAATGAACTAAAACATAATCGTTTGATAATTGGTTGGCAATTAATTTTCTATAAGAACTGATTGATCCTTACTGACACGTTCACAATTACAAAAATAACTTTTGAAAGCAAAAAAACTAATAATACTACTCATATTCCTGAATTCCCATTTCTGGTACTACAAGTACAATTTCATGAGGCCATTATTTTCAGACTTATAATTTGGAATCACATGGTTCCCATGTTAATCTGCAAATGTATTATCATCTTCTTGTCGTCTTATGTTTCATGGCTCATCCTATAATTGCATATACCGCAAATATCCTGTTCCACAAAACAACAAATGAAATTTAACACATTAATAAAAGACAAACATTGTGGGTTTGTCAGTTTTTGGATGTGTATGGATTGAATATGACACAAGCAGGGATTCAAAATATCAAAATCATTAATTCATTATTAGAGAGAAAATTGTTAAAAAATATACTCTAGCAATTGTCAAAGACATTATGTTCAATATATATTTTTTTGTTTGTGAGAGATTCACCATTTGTGAAATAGTTTGGTGAAAATTTCTTTTATTTGTTTTAAAAGACATTTTGTTTTTAATTTTATCTCTTAATTTATCTATTGACTTTTTTTATCGGTTCACTTTTGTTGACTACATGTTCAAAATTTTTCCCTATTTGTTCAAAATTTTTCCTATTTGTTTAATTTTTTTACCCTACTTGTTCAAAAATTTTCCTACCTATTCAATTTTTTTTTACCTTATTTGATCAAATATCTGTCCAAATTTTATTATCTATTCAATTTTTTCACTTATCTGTCCAAATCTTATTATTTGTTTAATTTTTTCACTTATCTATTTGAATCTATCTATCCAAATTTATTATCTGATCAAATTTTATTATTTGTTTAAACAAATCTGTTATCCCCACATTCTCAAACATATACACACAAATGATATATTATCTGAGCGCACACATACAGGTGATCCATTATTTGTGTACAAAATGAAACAACCAATTTTTTTTTTTTTTTTTTTTTTTTTTTTTAAAAAAAAAAAAAAAAAAAAACCAAAAATTTAAAAAAAAAAGGGTTTTAAATCCAAGAACCAAAAAAATTAGAAAAAAAAAAAAGAAGAAGAAACAAACAAATAAGAACAGAAAGTATTAGTACATCTGCAACATAACTAAAAACCACAAAATGCGTCAACAATTTAATCGCACATCCAAACAAGTCAAGCATCATTGTTAGATGGTGTTAGAGGTGGAGAGAAGTAGTGATGGTAGACCTGACTGACTCGATGTCCCAGACTAAAAGTCAAAAAGTTAAAAAGCTAATCTATTTTCCAAACGAAACCTTAATTTTATAATGAAAATTCTATTTATCATTTTTTTATACAAATGTGATTTGATGAAAAAGATTATTAATATCTAATTAACTTAATATTTTAAGTATATTTTAATTGAGGAATTTTAAAAGCATAAACATTTTAAATTATCAAAATATAACCCAAGGGGATGCTCAACAGCGACTGCTGTGATGGGCACAATAACCACTCCATTTCCAACAAACATTTATGGTGAGAAACACCATAACCAAAGAAAACCTAGCCACTTTTTGTTGCATGAAAGAAGAAGGCATTAATGGAGAAGGGAAGAGAGAGTCCAAAGCATGAAAGCAAAGGCCGGCGGTTGGTACTCTTTCCAATCCCGTTGCAAGGACATATGAACCCCATGCTTCAGCTTGCTAACATCCTTCACGCCACAGGCTTCTTCTCCATTACCATTATCCACACTCATTTCAACTCTCCCACCATATCCAACTACCCTCACTTCACCTTCTGCCCCATCCCAGACGGTTTGTCGGAGACCGAGAGTGAAGCTTCCACATCTGATAGCGTCGCTCTCCTCTCCCTCCTCAACACCAACTGTGTCGCCGCCTTTCGGGACTGCTTGGCTGGACTGGTGTTATCTGGTGTTGAGGACGAGGCGAAGGAGCCCACTGCTTGCTTGATAACAGATGCTATATGGCACTTTTCACAGTCTGTTGCAGACAGCCTTGAGATCCCAAGGATTGTGTTGAGGACTAGCAGCTTGTCTTCCTTTCTTGCATTTGCTGCTTTGCCTCTTCTGCTAGAAAAGGGTTACCTCCCTAAGCAAGGTCTGTTTGCGTTTTAACCTCCTTTCTTTCTCTGCCTCTTTTACTTCCTTGCTTCGCACTAAGATTGTTGTGTTTGGATCTTCAATTTGTAGGGGGAAGGAAAAACTTATTGAGTGGAAATAAAAGAATTGTTTTTCTTCTCTTGCTTCATGTTTTTTATTATCACTAATTTAAGATCCAAACACAAGTTAAGAAAAATCTGTTATCATATCACACCATCACTATTACTATTAAACTTAGGGGCGCGTATGGTCTGGATTGATCTGGATTGTGGTAAAATCAGGACCAATTCGCTATTTACGGTTCCTGAAAAATTAGAACCAATCCAATCCGTTTAAATCATGGAATCAATCCGAACCAATCCATTTAAACACGGATTGGATCAGTTTAGGATCACGGATTCACATAATTAAATAACAAAAAAATATATATAATATTTTATTTCATAAATGCATAAACGATAGCATCATGTTAGTTCAACAATTAGCAACTGTTTTTTTAATATGACATACTATTCTAAAATTTAACAACTATAAGAAAACGATTCTATAATAATTATTTAAGACCATTACAAATTAAACTAAAAACCAACAAACAAAGTAATAAAAGAAGATACTATGCAGTTTAAGTTAGGGTTTATTGTTTTTATAAAGAATAAAAGAAGATACTATGTGGGAAGGTGTATAATATGAATATAGCTATTTGTATACGTTCTCGGATCGGTTTACAATCCGGAACCGTTGGGTTCAATCCGGAACCGATCTGTAGATTACGGATTTTTAATTTTCAATCCGAAACCGAACCACGAATTTTAAAAAAACTAATTCAAACCTATCCGGATTGGACTGGCATCGAATCGGATTATAGAGATTTCACGAATCCTTACTTAGCTGTTCTGCT